AAAAAAAAAAAAAAGAATATGCATTATATAGGTTTATTTGAAATTAACTTTATAAAAGATGCAAGGGAGGACAATATGAGAGAGAAACAGTCTCATTTTTGTAGGAAGGTACATTAGAGCAGTCACCTATCCCAGCTCATAATGGATAATTCAGAAAGCTTTAAACATGGCCTTTTTTATATAAGAATGCTTACACAATACCAAAGAGTTGAGTGAATTTATATTTTAATTTTTCCACAGTAAAAGTGAAAAGATACCAGAGAAGCATGGGTAAGTGGATTGCTTTTGAGAGTGCTTTGTAAGATGTCTTGAGTGGTGTGAACCTTAAAGAGCACCCCAAAACCCTGGGGAAGGCCATGCTGTAGACACTGGTGAGAACCAAAAGGAAAGCAAAGCCCTTTTGTCAGGTATTTTTCAGGTTTTGTCCTCTCACAGTCAAAATAAAGCTGCTGTTTAGCAAATCTGACAGGGTTTGCTTTGGATTCATCAGGTACCCCTGTCTTTTCTTGCTATTAAAAACCAATCCCCAGCACTCCTCCACCTCTCCTGAGGCCACAAAGCTGAAACATCCTCAGTCCCTTTGCAGGGGACTTTTACAAGATTGAGGCCATAAAGTTTTTGATCAATCAATAAACTCTTCCAGTTCCCAGAAAGAATGTTAAGTTAAATTGAACGAAGATAAACAGAAGTACAGAGAGCAAAAAACACTTGCTAAGTTTCATAAAAAGCAGGAATATCACAAATTGGTTGAGAGTTCATGGAAGATAATGGAGCAGATTCTCCCACAATGACTTATGGGATGGTTCTGCACTGTGGGCTGAGTGTTTGTGTCTGCAGAAACCACCACAAGGGCAGGAACAGGCAGCATTCATGGATATTCACAATTTCAACTTGTGGAAGTGAAATAACTTCTTTGGACTAATATAAATTAGTCCAAAAATTCAGTAAAATTCATTGATCTAGTAAAATTCATCAGTTTAAGGAAAATATTGGGCTATTGACATATTAGACTATAGTGTGCTGTACTATAGTTAAAGATGCTTTTAAAAGATATAAAGGATTGCTCCTGCAGTTAGACAAAAAATTCAAACAGACAACCCCCCTGTAGACCTGCTCTTCACTGAAAGACTTTGGCAGCAAGATTTCCATTAAGAATTTATTATTCCTGATGCAATTTAAACTTAATTTCAATTAATTATTTTACCAGAGTGTCCAATATTGTCTCAATACAGGTGCACTAATAATGGGTGAAAAAATGGCTAGGCAGGGAAAAATATAAAAAGCTGTAAAATTACACTAATTTTCTGTCTGAAGTGAACACTGTGAGTGAGATGTAACTCCTGTAATTTGATTATTTTTTTAATCTGTATCTTTTTTCTACATTCTATTTGAAACATCTATTTTGGTCTCTTTTTAGAATTGGGCTGGTTTATAGCTATTTTAATTGCTTTTTCATTAGTCATCTTAGTGATGTGGAACAAACACTTTGATGAGAACTGAGCTGAGCAAATCTTTAATTTGTTTGGCCCTTAAGAGGCAAAAACCCACTTAGAGTTGGGCCTTGTTTGCTTGGTATCATCTGGAAAGAAAGAGCTGCTTCTTCATAGATGCAAAGGATGATCAGGAACTCTGTTGCTTCTGCCTCAGGTTTTTCACCCATTATCAAATGATCTTGGATATTGGCATCACTCTACATAGACTTTGTAAGAAAGTTTAAAAAAAAAATTGAAAGGTGAAAAACTGTTCTGAGTTCAAATTCAGTTTTTCTTTCACTTACTTTTTTGTGATTTTTTTTCCCATTCTAGACAAATACAGCAACAACAACTTAATGAAAAGGATGAGAGCTGCTTTCCAAATTAGATAAGTGCCTGCCAAGCTCATTCACCTCTTCACCCAGGCATCTGCCTGGACAGCTCAAGTCATCTGCTGCCCAAGAATGGGTTTGTATTTTGATATCTCAATTAATTATGCCAAACACTCTGGTGTAGCCACATGTACTTTCTTATCTGTGTTCAGCAGCAAGTTTTGGGAACAATGGGCAAAATCTGAAACATGAATACAACAGGAGATTAAATGAAAGAGTGCTGAAAAGAGCTCCTGCTCCCCCAGTGCTGGTAATGAGAAAAGCTGTAGTGAAATTTTTCTGATTCCTTTGAGATTTGATTTGGGAAAGGGGAGAGATTCTGAAAATATTGAAGAGTGACATTTCCAGAAAGAATTGTGTTGACTTTTGGTTCTGAAAAAATCCTTTAGCTATGTTTTACAAAGTAGATACATAGATACCCAGATCATCAATAAGTCTTATGAGCTGCAATAAGTCTTAAGAGGAATTTCCTGAATTTTTGAGCACCTGTGGTATCAGTTGAAAGTAATTTTTTATCTTGAAAAGCTCCACAATTTTGTTCTCTGTGCTGCCATGTAAGGCCAGCTGCCTTTGAAACTGAGCACTAGGCTCTGCCTTCCCAATTTGTTCATCTAAAGATCCACAGGAGTTCCAGACTCACGTGCAGACTGAGATGATTTAATTGAGTATTCGCTGCGTAGCTGTCAGCCTGGTTCCTCTGCAGGGTTTGAAGGAGAGGGAAAGGGCAGAAAGCTTCCAGGTGCAGAGGTTTTCTGGAGCTTTAGTGCATGGAAAGAGTTTTTGTGGCTGTTTTTGAGGGAAAAGAATGAGAAAAATTGTACAGACCTCCTCAGGGCTGAAAGGAAGCACTTGAACACAATCAGAGTTGTAATAGACCTGTGCTGTGAGGACAATGTCCTGGAGCACTGGAGAAACCTTCTTGTGTCCATAGCAGGATTTTAGCTGTCCTCTTGGCCAGGAACACCCATGGGGTTTCTTTTTCAGGTCCTTCCACCATCAGGCAGCATTTTATCTCACAGCTGGCAGAGTTCAGTAGCTTTTTGGAGAAGTTTTGGAGCCCTGAGCAGAGCACCTCCCCTCCTGCTTCAATCCTGGTCTATGACACAAAGAAGGTCCAAGATGCACCCCAGCAGCAAACAGCCTCTGTACCCATAGGGTTTTACCCTAATGTCCTAAACTCCCAAATCCTTATTTTTTCAAAATAAATGACTGATAGAAGACTTGCCCTGCCAAACATCCTTCTGTTTCCCCCAGGCCACATGGCAGCACGTGTCCTCAGCTGGGTGCAGGACAGGCAGTGGTGATGGGAGTGTTTTACGTGTTTCATTTTGCATGCTGCAATTTTCAGAGCACATCTGCAGTCTCCCTACAATGGCAATATATTCTCCTCAGCTTCAGAGCCTTTAAAAGATCTCAGTCTTGCAAAAAACGAGTGATCTGCAGAAAATAACCTTCTAGGCCTAGAGCGAGTCCAAGGGCAGCAGGCGTGTAGGGTTGGGAAGTGGGAAGGCACTTGTTTCTTGGGGATATTTAGAAAAATATGTACCATTTTGTGAAAAAAAATGGGGCTAAAACTGCAGCAGAGAACCCAGAAGAAGCAGATACTTCACAGGCTTCTTCCTGCAGCCATTCAGACCATGACTGTGACTGTGACATCCCAGCTCAAGCCTGCCCAGGAACCAGCCCAGGGAGTCAGAGCTCTCGAGTCTTGCTGTCTAATCAGGAGTTTGAGCTGGGGTTTTCAGAAATGGAATACTAATGATTAACAATTGATTAGCACAACTGCATCAAACTCAAGTATTACCTCTAGAAGTGGTTGTAATTTGCCCTTTTGGATTGGCTAGAGAGACACCTAGGTTTAGCTCATTGTTTTTGTTGGTGGGGTGTTTTTTTTCCTCTATGTGACATTAGTGTGAGAATTTCTACAGGCATTTCATTTCTCAAAGGAAGCAAATTGTGCTTTGCATTTTAATTTACCATGACAACTGATTTTTCTCTTTCTAAAATGCTTCTTAGAAACTTGATAAGATTCCTACTTTCACTTGCCATCTTGCCAACGGCTCGTCACCAGCCACGAAGTGCACAGCCTCTGTGATGTTCAGGAGGGGGATCTGGCAGTCAACAGCCTCAGAGCTCAGAAAATCTGCTTTTGTGCTTTCTTCTTCTCTTGACATCCATTCTCCATTGAGATGCTACAGTAAAGCAGAGGGACAGTGCAGAAAATGAAGCCTCATAAAGAGATTCCAGTTGTCAGTGTATGTTTATATTTCTGATCAATAATATAAGGTAATCCTAGATGGTTTATTTAAAAGGAAACATGTTGTTACTATAGCTACAGCAAAGGGGAAGCCATGCTTAGCTAGGCATGCAGGTGGTCTATTGATTTAGGACGTGCTGTGGTCTGCACTTGGGATGAGCAGCTGGGATGAGATGGGGTGATGTAATGGAGTGACTTTGTCTTTCCTCCTGGAGCTCAGCAGCTGGCTCGTGGCTTCTTGAAGGTGATGTCAGCTACTCCTCCAGATCAGCTGCACAAAACATTCCAACTGGTAAGAGCCTATGGAGCCCTAAGGGGGCTCAGCAAATCTCAGCTGTGCCTTGTGAGTGTGCCAGCACCGACTGGGAGTCAGGCTGTGTCTGTTCTGAGGTGGATTTATGAGTTTAATCAAACATTTCATATCTGAGGATGCTGATCCACGAAATAACTCAGTTGCAGCATTGCCTGTGTATACTTGTTTATGATAAAATTACAGTGCTTGCATAAGAGATGGGTTTGATGCTCATCAAAACCTCTGATTTGGTGTTGAAGTATGACTAAGAAAATTCAAATAAGAGCCTCTGTAACTGTGGTGAGGAAACCCTATATTCAACCACAAAACTTAACATTTAAATGTGTTTAGGAAAACAACCACATGTAGTGATTCCAGATGTACAAAATGAGAAATAATATTGTGATTTCAGGCTTCAATGGACTACAGAGCAGCTGAACCAAACAGGAATCAAACAAAACTCCACAGAGATAAAGAGCAAGAACTGATATCTGTGCATTTCCAGGGAACAAGTCCTGGAAAGGTCTGAGCCTCTTCAGCTCCCCTCACTTGTAACAAACACTTTGGCAGTGGGCTTGGTGGGTACCCGTAACCTGCTGAAGCATTGAGGGAAGACAGCAAAGACCAGAGTAAAGTATTTCTATATAAACACATCAACATTTGACTGTACCAGCCATATTTTAAGAGCTGCTTACGATTAGCCTGGTGACCTGGCAGTGCAGGCTGGGAGACTCTCTGAACCCGAGGCCAAACGCCCGGATCCTGCTGCAGTCCGAGGCTCGGACGTCGCAGAGACCCCCGTTCTCCAAGGCTGTGATTTCCAAAGCTTGCTCTGCAGGGTGAGATGGATACAAAGCTTTAGAGAGCAGCACTGTTCTCTTCTGCTTCATCAGAGATTTTGTTGTTCCTGGTTGTCACAGTTTAATACTTTTCTTAGGGTTTTCCTTGCCTCCCTGGGGATTTCTCTTGAACAGAGAAACAGCAGTTGTCAAAAGGGGAAGCAGCAAACCTCCATTAAATATTGTCCCAGTGCTGCAGGATGTATCAGTGAGTGTCAGGGCTCCTGAATCAATTCTCTGAAGCTGAGGCTTCGTCTTAAAAGGTCTCTAGGGCTAAAACTTCTGTTGACCTAAGTATCCAGTGGCAATACATCTGCTGACCCAGGTAATACATCCCTGACCCAGGCAATACATCCCTGACCCAGGCACTAGGATGGGAGCACAGCTGAGAGGACAAAGCCTCATCCCATAGCAGAAAGACACATAGGAACAAGAGATGACTGTGCCACCAGGATTCCTGGAGTGTTAAAAAGCCAGCCCTATGTTTTTGTTTTGTTGTTTGTTTGTTTGTTTGTTTTCCCTAAAGTTTTGGCAGCAGAAAAAGGGTCCTTAAAGTATAGCTTTCTTATGAGGGTTAAATCATTAATGGTAGCACTCAGCTGTGCACTGTGTCAGCACAAAGGTCATACATCAGCTAAGTTTCACTTAAATCCAACATTAAGGCCTTAAGTAGAGCTTAAGTTATGTACAGCCTGTGCTGGCCCCATAACAAGGCTGACTTCCACCCATTACTGTGTTAAAAATGTTTTATGGTTCTCAGGTAAAGTTTCATTTGGGTTCTGTTTTACTTCGGGTATTCACCTTCTAAAATTGCTCATTGCTTTCACTTTGGGGTTATTTTGACAGAGGAAAAATGCAAATCCATTGGATATCAGAATTCACATATTTAATTAAGAAAAATTATAATCTGGTAGATATTTGCACCAGCTCTTGAGTAGCACAAGACTCAGAATGGCTCCAATATCATACATCAATAATAGCAGTCAGTTGGGAACATGGCTGCATATTTTCATTTATACTATTTGTAGATCTAGTGGCCAGGAGAAGCCACTATGATGACAAGTAACACAAAGCAGAACACTTTCTTCTTGTCTCCTGAACAACACTTAATAGCAGGGGCATGACCAGCAGCCCTGGGAGGGATGCTGCTCACCACCAGAGTGGAGTCCCAGCTGTTATTCCTGCTTAGCTTCCTTTTCCCAGCACCATCACAGCAGCTCTGGCAAAGTAATATTGCCCATCAGTTTTCTCTGAGCTGTAGCTTGGCTAAAACAGCAGCTCTCCACCACCTAATATTTTAGTGGTACCTTAGTTCAGCTCTGATTCAAGGGGCAAAATGCCCTGAATGGAGCTGATAACCTTCCCCAGCACCTTGCTGTTCCTTTAGGGCTCTGCCATTTAGGCTGCCATTAGGAAAATGCTGTTTAAACACTGCCATCCCACCAGATTGCAGCCTGCAACAACAGAGCCGCATGACTTGTGTTTTTTTCCAGAGGAAAATAGGAATGAAAACAACATAAACATGAAAAAAATGAAAATACTTTTTTTCCCCCTGCACTTTTGAAGTGCTTTTAGCTTTTGTTTCTTTTTTTTTTTTTTTTAATTGATTTTATTGCAGCAGTATTACCAACACTGCTGGACACTTTGCAATATTTACAAGAAGAGAAAGCATTTACAGCTTATCAGCTTCCATCAGTTTTACTGGTGGATTCCTGTAATGTACAAAACTATTAGTCAGATGTGGTGACTGGTTTTGATAAATTACCTTCTTCTGTGGTTAGTGCATGAAAATTAAAAAATAAAAATGCTTCATTATGTTTTTCATGAGATTTTAATAGTTAGCCCCACTAGTACTGAGGTAGCTTGAATTGCATTAATGTTTTCATTATCACTGCAGATTTTCAGGCTTCTGTGGGTGAAGCAGAATCTCAGAGCCTGGGAAGGAGTGGGGCACAGGAATGTGCTCCTGCAGCCCTTCCTGTTCCATGGAATATCTCTCAGCTCTGTTGATTAAATCCCTGCACTTCCCCAAAGGTTTCCTTACATCTTTATGGCCACACTCCTGTGTCAGAGCCAGGGCAAGTTTACCCAGCCCCAATGCTTTTCCCAGTGACTTACAGTGTCAGCTCAGCATTTTGTATTTATTTCTCTCAAACCATTCTGTGCACACTTGTCAAGGTTTAGCCCCAGCCAGGAACTGGATATCACACAGGCACTTGCTCACTGCCCCTCCTGGCAGGATCAGGGAGATAATCAAAAGGGAGAGAGTGAGAAAATGTGTGAGCTGGTTTAAGGGTAGTTTAATCGGAGAAAAAAAGGAAGAAAATACAGTCATGGTAATAATAATAATGATAAAATATTTAGAATATATACAAGTGATGCACAATGCAATTGCCCATCACTTGCCAAATGCCCAGGCAGTACCTGAGCAGTGATCCCTGCCCAGTTTTCCCCTCAGTTTATTCACTGAGAGTGATGCCACATGGAATGGGATATCCCTGTGGTCAGTGGGGATCAGCTGTCCTGTTGGTGTCCCCTCCCAGCTCTCTGTGCATTCCCAGACTTGTTGGCAGGGCATGAGAAAATGTCAAATCCTTTCCTTAATACAAACACTACTTGTGTTTGTATTAAGGAACATAACTACAAACATCAGTGTCTTACCAGCTTTAAATATGATGGAAAATAAAACTAATTACAATGGTTCTTTTTTAAAAGAAATGGACACTAGAGTTCAGCCTTTGGACCTCAGTATAGGCAGTACATAAATATTGACAAGAGTTGTTACTTTTATTTTTTTTAAAATAATGTCACATGTAATGGGTGTAGGGATTTTAGCCATTTGGTTTTAATGAGGTTCCCCTCTGCCTTCCAGTGTTGCATTTTAGCCAGTTTCAGCCAAAAAAGGGGGAGGAAATCTCCCTTCCATTGGCTTTGGAAAAGTCTCCTGGCAGCTGGGCACTCAAACATCCAAAGCCTGCTCTTGCTGGGTACAGGGATCAAGGTGTAGTTGGATCATGGAGGGGTAGTTGGAAGTCCAGAGAGGTGCTGACATCAGAAGGAAATATTGGAGAGCCTGAAAAACCTCAGCAAAAGAGCTGCAAGTAGTTCAGCTGAAGACTGGAGGGAAGAAGGACGGGAGCAATAAAAATAGCTGGGAACCATCACAAAGGTGAGAGCGAGGGCAAAAGTGCAGATATGCAGAGACAGCTGAGGTTGTGGAGACCTGGCATGGATGTCTGATGTCTGTAGAGGGGCAAGTTAGAGGAGAGAAATCTGTAGCTAATCAGGCAGTCCTGGAAGGTGCTTGTAAAAAGTATGATATATTTTAGCATTAATATTTTATGGTTAGGGAGTGTGAATACCAAAATACAACTAAATTCAGGGCAGAACATCCTCCTTCTTTTCTCTGTATGGCCTATAGGCCAAAAATGTGCTTTGACTTTTACTAGTAGATTAAAAACTGAAGCTCAGGGTGGCACCTGGGGTTCAGATGCGTGACAGGCTGCAGCAGTTCTGGAGAGGATTTAAGGAGCTGTGTGTTCACATCCACTGGCTCAGGCATGGGCATCCCTCTGCATTTCCAGTGCTCAGTCTGTACCCACACCAAGTAAACACAAAAAAAAAGGAACTTTCACCTGACAGAGCATTGCAATGGGACAGTGTGAACAGCAGGAAATGTTGGGGGGAAAAAATAAGGAAAATCTTGTGTTTTAATGAAACTGTCTTGAGATAAAATGGAGAGAAGGGTCTGGAGTTGAAGGTGGAAATCCCAAAGGCCTCCAGACAGAATAAAGGATCTGTCCTCTTTGGTTTACAATGCTTGTCCTCAAGGCACACCTCCCCTGCCTTCCCTTCCTTCTCCTCCCATCTCCAGCAGGAATTTCCAGGAAATAACAGTAAATTCAGAGCTGCTGACGGTGCAGTTTCATTCTGTAATCATTTACATTAATCAAACCTGACAAGGAGCACAGGCTAAATAATAGACTGAAACCCCCCCACATAAATACATGGTTGGGTTTACAGGTATTGTTTGCAGTGTATTATGTAAATAATATGCACAGTTGTAGAAGAAAAATGAAGACTTGATTTTGTGTCAAGAATATTGCAAAAATCAAGAATATTGCAAAACTACACTTATTGAGGTCTTACTGACAGATAGAAATGGTTCATGTCGGATTTACTATTTGATTAGAAAAGTATCCCAGCACAAATAAACTTTCTTCTGCAATGTTTGAAAACTACATATGAGGCTTTGGACTGGACCAGCAGACCTGAAATTTAAACCAGCAGAAATTTTGTTTGAATAAAGAGAAGGAAAGGAACTACACTGCTGTTCTTAAAGGGGATGATAAATAAGCAATCTAAGACATGAAAAGCAAATCAAGAACCAGATCATAAGTGCTGGGTTGGGTTAAATAGCCCATGATGCCCAGATGCTCCTTCCTTGGAATCAGGGAGCTGATTCAACAATTTTCCATACCAGAGCTTGATGGTGTGGATGTGGACCTCCAGCTACCATAGGTATGAGGGTTCTGTATCAGAGCAAACTGATGCTCAATTTTCTCTACAACTCGGACAGAGCAAGTCTGAGTCTGCCTCCATTCAAATGTTTGCACAAATATTGAATTTCTTTTGTATATAATATTGTTTTAGTAATCATAGACACAATCATGGAATGCATTATCCTGGAACTTGTGCAATCCATGACCCAAAGCTCATTTGACAATCCTCCCTAAGGAAAAACTATCAGCAGCCGTATGCTCTTTGCCAGAAGTCATGCACATCAGTGACCTCCCTGGCTTCTAAATAAAAACTGTGTTTTTTCCTGCTTCCAAACCCAGGTCTCAGAGGACCAGAGAAGCTGAAGGAGCTGAGGGTGTCTAGTCTGGAGAAAAGGAGGCTCATGGGGATCATCTATCTACAACTCCCAGAAAGGAGGGTGTGGCAAAGTGTGTCTTGGTCTCTTCTCCCAACTAGCGAGTGACAGGACAAG